CTTTTCATGTACTAACGAAAGACGCTTGGACGCAAAATAGGAGGTCTCTGCGACAAGAACTTTTGAAGATCTTACTACTTATACCTAGAAGGACCGAGGGGGTCATTTTGACCCCTTCACGAGATTTTATAAGTGTAAACTGACGAGGACTTACTTTTCCATCATAAGGCTGACCGTATTTGTTATGTACGGTGGCTTATGACTTTTGGTCGGCCATGTGACACTTTTTAACTCCTTAATTCGGGGAAGGTAGGCAACACGCAAGTCACAAAACCCCGTTTTTAAATTACAACACATCCAAGGTTTTAGTGGTAGTTGCGTCACCGGACTCGCGTTCTGATGGCAAAGAGGGGCGTCTAGCACAAAGTACGTATGGTTTTGCGAATGCCAAAACTGCCACGCACATTGTTGTCAGTGCCAAATTGGTAAAAAATAAAATGTTTCTGTGTGAATCACACTCCCGCTTTTAGAGTACGTATGTGTTCTAAAGATCACGTACTTATAAATGTGAACTAAGTCGGATATTTATTTTAAAGTTTAAAAATGTCTTAAATGGTGCGAACAATTAACAGAAATAGCTGTAAAATTGCAAAAAAGTTGTTTTATGCCGTGCCGGTTGCCTACCTAAACGCACTTCAAACCTAACCAATGTCACTTCATGGCATCAGGTACCTTAAAACACACAACACCTTACTCATGTGCGAAAAAACGGCGGCCTTGAAGCCATAAAAACGGCCAAAAATAGTAGAGGGGTCAAAATGACCCCTCCGGTCCTTCTAGGTATATGAAAATCCCGGTCCTTCTAGTGTTAAGTCCTATTCAAACGGCATGAGTGAGCCGATTTCGAGGAATTTTTGGACCGCCAGTTCGCGAGGTGATCGAAGGCACTACCACCAATACGAAACTTCAAAGTAAAATACTAAAAGGACAAGGAAAATCAGTTCGAAGGGCCCGCGAGGTGTGGGTTACAGAGTCGTCATTTGCCAGGGAGTTATGTTATGAAAATACCCATTTGTTTAGATAACGTAGCGTAAAAGTGTGCAGATACGCGTGTCTCTTACCTTTGGTGATGGTCCAGACATGTCGATTTAGTCAGTAAAGTGAAGTAGAAACGGCTGATATGTTGAGTTGTTGAACAGCTCTGGGGCAGGTGGTTTGAATGCAGCGGAAGCTAGAATGAATGGTGAATCCGAAGTGGGCGGAAACAGAAGGGTGGGTATGTTCACTGACAAGACGGTTCACCTCCACGTGGTCAAGGCTGGCAACGATGACAGCGATGTCCTCCTGTCAGCGGCTTAGAGACAAATAAACACATAAGCATTAACTTTCGAAATCGGTGCATTCAGATAAATACACGAGGCACTTACTCCCACATACTTTCTTACTCCATACTATGCACAGAATAATACACAATGAGTTCGACATAACTTTTCGCTTACGATGTGCATACACATACTTACATTCTTTCCAAACCTACCTTTTCATCCTCTAGAAATATATGAAACACCCCGCAGGCGCACATTTAAGCGAAACACCCGTACCATACACAAGAAATTTCATACTAAAACAAACGTAAAACAGTTAATTTTTCTGATTACTAATTGCTTATCAGCTACTCCAAAAAAAAGGCCGGTGGCATTAAAATATCCGCAAGACACTCCCAAGCGACAGCTTGCAAGGAGCGAGCGAAGCGAGCTTGAGCAAGCCGAGCTCCCGCGAGGGCACAGCCCGCGCCACGCGAGGCCCTGGCCTCGCACGCGGGGGCAACGCCCACGCACGGGGGGTCTGGGGGGGCGGAGCCCCCCAGCGAGCAAAGCGAGTCTGTCCAGATACCAGTCAATATATTAGCTGACTCAGCGAATCTTTTTTTTTCGTGTAATTCACTTCCAGTAAATTTCTGTAAACATGCTGAATTGATCTGTATCACAGAAAGTTATACGGTTGCGTGTTTGCACGTGCTGTTCGAAAGATTTTTTATACTAACATTTACAGATCAACACAGTAAATTCTAGACCTATGCATTCGATTATTGGGCTCGGGTTTAAGTAAAAATCAAGGAGAGGACTCCGGTAGTGCCTAGAAACTGGCCCGACGCTTACACGAGCCCTGTTAGTGGCGGCGTGAGATTAGTGATCTGTAGATTTCCTAACGCCAAATCAGCTGGGCGGAAATACTCGGCGTGGGGCTGGCCCTGCCCCCCCCCCTCCCAGCTGAAAAAAACATGTGCAAATCCACGTGGATATTGCGTTTTCGACGTGGTTCCACCTGGATTCTACATATTCCCACGTGTTCCCATGTGTATTGACATGGGTTTTGAATCTTTCCACGTGTAAATCCTCATTTCCATGTGAGTTCAGTGAAAGTCCACGTGGATTTTGTATTTCCCACGTGGATTACCGAATCTCCATGTGGATTCGGCAATTTTCCACGTGGAGTTTCTATATTCCACGTGGGTTTTGTCCCTACCACGTGGGGTTTCTTTACACCACGTGTGTTTCTTTCGATTCCACATGGGGTTTTGTTTTACCCACGTGGGTTTTCTATGGCCAACCGTAACTTTAAATTGGGGTGGCCTACAAATATATTGCCTACACTCATAGAAAAGATAGATTGCATAGTACACGGCCATGTGATAAAAAGGAGAGTTGTTATTTTTAATTGTGCTGCTATCTTCTAAACTAATGGCCGTATTGGAAATCCGAGTCCATATTCGGCGTTTTAAGCCAAATTTCACTTGGGGAAGTTGCTGTTATTCATGTCTTATGACACACTCACTAGAAAAAATCTTGAGATTTCACGGAGGAACACTCGTGAAAAGTATTGCCAAAGTTCTTTGGGATTTCCCAAGGAACTCTGTATATTTCACGTGTCGAGATAAGCTTTAAAACATAGAGACGAATGAAAACTTCCACCTTCAACATCTGTTTTAGTACACAAAATCTAATGACGGAGTCCTCTGGGAATTTCAATTAGTGGTGGAAAGTATATCTTCGGGAAATCCCAAGAAATTTCTAACAGTGCTTGGGACTCAGGACTCTTGTCTTTGGATCTCCACATGGATGTGGGGCAACCACGTGGTACTCGAGAACCCCACGTGGAATTTCTGAAAATAACCATGTGGGTTTTTACAAAAACCCACATGGAAAGTAACCAATTACCTCATGGAAAATTTACCACGTGCGAATCTTATAGAAAACCCACGTGGAAAGTCTTCGGAAACCCAGGTGGATTTGTGCGTGGATTTTTCAGCTGGGCGGGCCGAGGTCCTGCCTCCTCCCAACGTCGACAGGCTGGAGATGGGTAGCCAACAGAATATGTTAAGGAGGCAGTAAGTTATTAGTCAGTTAGAACTACAATCATCTTCGTATGTTCTTCAAACAATTAAAATGGGTAGTACAAACGGGGATTTAAAATTAATGCTTTGAAGGCCGCGGCGTGGCGCGTGGTATGCCGTGTACCTGCCGGGTCACATAATCCCCAAGCCCGGCCGGTCGGGTCGGCTACGGTCACCCGGTTGTTCACTTAAATGCTTATTTCGTTGCTTGTATAATACGGTCAGGTAGGTAGGCAAGGATAGGAGGCAAAGGGCAAAAACCTCCAGAAACTCAGAGGCGAACGAAACTTCTTTTCCTTTTCTCGAATTACCACACTTTACACGTATTATAAAACTTTTACAGAACAGACCTGCAAATTTACCAGTATATCATGGGAAAATGATTACCATATAAAAACCGGAATCTGTTTTACTAGTGTTCTGTAATTTTACAGACTATGGTAATTTTACTAGACAATGTATTGGCACTAAGTATGCCTAGACTTTTTCTGTATCTCCCTCTAAAAATTTGTAACTGTTCTTGCAAGAACAATACAGCGAGCAGGCATCGAATACCTCCATGGCGTCCGAAGGCGGATTGGAGTAAGAGGGAGCTATGGCGCCGCGCGAACTTCTCACTCACACTATCGCTTTCACTGTTAGAAATTTTCGGGGAGATTTTACAGATAAAGTCTGGGTATACTAGACGCCAATATAAAGTCTGGTAAAATTACCAGTGCTTGTAAAATTACAGAACACTTGTAAAAATAACTCCACAAAATTTCTGTAAAACTGATACCAAATATTTCTGTAAAAATGTTTAAGGATGTTTCCTGTAATTTTTACCCACATTTTTCTCAGGTAAAATATGCGAGAAAAAATATTTTGTTCTATTTATTTCATATCGTCAATCGCTGACAGATTTCTCTGGTGAAACTGCTTGAATCGCTCGGACTCTTAGTGGAATCGAACCCCCGACCTTCTGGTCGTGAGCCCGATGCCTTGCCCATTGCGCTACGGCGCGCTCTATGCAGGTAGCCCGTCCGTACTCCATCTCATGCTTCGTACTGTCCACGCGACTTTTCCTTCGGATTGCTACCTTCTCTCTTAATGTTGGTACGTTATTATCCACAAAATAGGATTCTTCCCGCTGTTCGCTGTTTGAACGCACTGGCGTTCAAAATTGGACATATTTTCTGGCCAATTTGAACCGTATTTCTTATGTGTTCGAAAAATTACAGAAAGTATCTGAAAAACTTCATTACAGAGCATCTGTAATTTTACTAATACCTGTAAAATTACGAGAGTACGTGGGGATTTTTACAGACGCTTGTAAATTTACAGTAGTTTTCGCGAAAACGACCGAAGATCTGTCATTTTACAGGTACTTGTAATTTTACCATAGAATTTCGGTAAAACTAACATCTTCTGTAAAATCACACCACTATTTCTGTAATGGATTACACGAATTATCGGTAAAATCACTATTATTTTTTACACGGACGCCCGCTTTCGCATGCCCGCTCACTGCAGAGCTCTCATATATATAGCGCATTTTGTCACAAACCTACGTGCAGTAATATGTTCATAAATTCTTCGTCACAAACAACAATATATAAACAAAAACAGCCTTGGAGTCATTTTTCTTTTACTCATAGAATATTGCTCGAAACTGTAGAATAGGAAATTTTCTTTACTACGGGTCCGTTTATTGTTAACAAGAATTGTGTTTTTTTTTTTTAACTGTCAGTGTGTTCAAGTAGTAACTTGCCATTGTTGCAGTCGTAGACCAATCCGTTTGAACGCAATCGTGCACACTGTAAAGGGCCGCGCCGTTCGAGGTGGAGGCGAAGATGAGCATGTTTTTGGGGGACAGAACACGCAACGGCGCCAACGGCAAAATGAGGGTCAGGCCTATGTTCTTGATTAATCTTTCGAGCCAAAACGATGTTGCTTGTAGTTTGTATGTGCTGACGGTTTTCCGAAACCCTTTCAATTCACAGGTCTTACCCAACCGGTTGGCCTATCTTTGGTATTACACTGGCATACAGACGCATACAGCCCAATACCCTTTGGTCTGCTGGGTCAACAACTTTTACATCAATTTTCCACTTTCCATAAAAGAGCATTGGTATTCCTTTGGGTTGTAGAACTGAACTTGACAAGTTTCGCACCGAATAGCCACCCTGCGACAGACGTACTTAATTAGATTAGACCATCATGACAAAACAAAAACTAACACAGTTCACCTTTTAAAATATTTCACAAGGAACCAAGAATGGGGAATTGTTTACTTTAGTGACTCCTCGCCCTGGAGTCACTCAAGTATACCATCGGAAAGGTATTTTGCAGTAGAATCCTGAACAGTATTTATATATTGGCGCTCGAGTCTGGTTTTCATCCAAATTAAATATATATGCGTCGCCGCTAACCTTCAGATGCACTTTGAGGACGGCAGAATAACTCACGTTTTCGGCTAGTACTGACGTTGATCGCTCCGGCTGGGGTTTTTAAATCATTGCTTCTGCATCAAAGACTACGCCTGATTCATAATATCAGGCTTTCTTTCTCTACCGTTGCTTAGATCACAGTTTTCACACTTCTCCAAAAATGGCTTCTGCTTTGCGTGGTCCTACCCAGAAAGGGGGCCGAGTGCTGTCACGTGCGAGGCTACGTAACGGTTTGAGCTCGAGCAAAACGGACAAAATTTTCGCCCGACGGGCCCTACTTTAATGAGTTACCACCTAGGAAACCATCAAAAAATATTTTCAAAAAACGTCATTTTAGGGACCCGTTGTTTTTGATTTAAAAAAATTTAATTTTTGAGCTGGAATGCTCTTCTTTGAACTCGATCTGTCTTTTTAGAACACAAAACGACCCTGCAAATCCCAGGTCGATCGCTAGCTCAATTGGTTCTCGAGTTATCGTGCGGACAGACACACAGACAGACAGAATAAGTTTTCCCCGACCAGACGGAGTAATAGGCTTCGCTAATCGCTCAGCCAAAAAGTCCGAATGTTTTTCCGCGCCCAAGCTTTTTGGATTCTTTATTGAAAATAAAGATGTACGTGTCCCGGCGATTCCCTGATTTCTCGAAATTGATGGATGTACAACGGCCTTAAAGTTTTGGGATAGTGACGGGTTCAACGGTGATGCGTTTAGCGTCGTCGTGTTCACTGGTTTATGCGTTTAAGGGGGGATTCTAGTGTAGCGGCTCAAAAACAATGCTTATTTTGCGAATTTTGTATTTAAAATACTGTAGCTCGTATCGAAAATTTGAGAACACGGTTTAATAGACGGCACTTTAATGCAAAAAATGCAAAAACAAGCGTCTCAATATCTTCAAAGGTGTGGCGACACGGCCTGCTACAAGGGAGCATGTAGTTTCATGCTGGCCGTACACTTTCCCACGGACTGGTGCGTCTAAAACAGTCGTACGAAACGGTGTTCTGTTGGGGGGAACCTGGCTATGGTTGGTACTAGAAGATCTCACTGTTAAAAAAAACAACTGAAAATTCAGACTAACTTTTTCAGACTTTGCTGTCTGAATGGGGTTTTCATACAATTTTGTCATAATTTTCAGTGAACGTCTGAAATTTCATAGCTGTAGGTCTGAATTAAGAGTTCAGTCAAGAAAATTTGAAAATTCAGAGTATTAATTCAGACGAAGGTCTGAGTCTGAAATTCTGACCAGAAAAGTATGAATATTTAGTTTAGTGCCGGGAGCACACCTGTAGGATCAGGCAGGTAGCCGTCGGTGACCCCTTAGTTTTGTCGTCGTGGCTGTGTGGTCAAGGATGAGAGATTACCAATCCAAAGGTCCGAGGTTCGACTCCGGTTAGGTAGGTAAGGTACAATAACAAATTTCTTTCTAATTGCTTAGAATACAAGTCAACTTGAAGGAGAGGACAGAGAGCGTCAAGAAAACTTCATTTTAAAAGAAGATCTGAAATTCAGACTAAAGTTATGAAATTGCTATTCAGACTAAGATAACTGAAAATTCATACTAAAAATTCATACCCAGAGAGAAGTTTTGGTGGAAAAGACGTGGAATCGACGTGGTGTTATACGTGGAAAACACGTGGCAAATTCACGTGTTATCCACGTGAATTTGACTATCTCATCCACGATTTATCGACGTGTTGATCACGTCGATTCAACGTGATATCGACGTAAAGTCTCCATGTACAAAAGTGCTACACGCAGATCTGAATCTCAAATTTAGGTATAACTCTGGAATTTATATAGTAAGGTAAAGGGTAAACAGTACATAGAGAAACAGTTTTTTTTTTTTTTTAGTAGAATGTTGACTTTATTTGATGAAACATGAAAACAATAACGTAAAGAAATAAATCCTAATCTTTAAAACAAAAATAGCAATGACTAGATGCAACGAAACTTAAAGAAAAACATAAACAGTCTTCTCGCTGCATATATCAGCCAGTTTATAATGTGTTCTTCAGCAGAAGGTACTACCCCCCTGCTTATTGAAATCTACCAAAGAACCTGAAAATAAATGAAACTAAATTACTGTGAATATGGAGGTAACATTATAAAAAGTGAACAGACTTTTTATAACAACCATTTGAATTTGAAGAAGCAACGACAAGAATATAATTTCAAATACACACTATCAGAGAGACAAGCCTTTCAACGTAACCTGATCTAGAGTTCAAATCAATGCACTGACAATAACACTGTGTAACAATAGCAGAAAAGTTCGGTGAAAAACGCAAACAAATTTTGAGTTGCAGTGTAATTAATGTTTTATTCAGGCTTCGAGACATTCCCTAAGAGGTTAAGTATGATAACCTAAACCAAACTAACCTAGTCTATACTTCGCCCACGATAAAAGACAGAGATTAAATATCTTTTCTTGACACTAAATACATCTATAACCGAATCACGCTGAGAAGTTATAAGTTTAGACCTTTTCTTACCTTCCGACTTTGATTAACGGCAGCAGTTCTGGTACCAGCATGCTCTTGTGCCTCTATATCACCATACGTCCACAGAAGACAAAACCTGCTCGAAGAGAAATTACTAACGATGCGATAATACAAAGAGGAAACGTAAAAAAATTGTATTAACTTACGCTTGTTTGATTTTTTGTAGTAATTTGTACTAAAAGACCACAAACACGATACGACATTTCGAATGTAAACAACTTACGGTGCCTTCTTTTTTCAACGAAACTCTATGGTGTCGTGGCGGAATATTTGAAAGGTGTTCTCAAGAACACTATCTGAGTATTCTTCAATGAAGATGACGAATGAAAAGCGTGTGCTCTGTCACAGAATAAATGTCTAACAGTTTCGTTGGCGCTGTTTTAAAGTGATAAGCATAGCTACATTTGAGACCAACAGGTACGAGCAACTAAATCAAGGGTTTCGAGGCAATCGACGTGAGATCAACGTGGAATCGACGTGTAAACGACAGACGAACTGATACACGTCGATTCGACGTGGATTCCACGTCGAATTGACAATATACTGGAATATGGCGTTCAGAACAATAAAAATCCCATTTAGTAAGAAATGTATTTGCAACTTTTTAGAAAGGTAAATAGTGGTGGATATCTGGTGGATGTATCTACCACCACGAAAAATCCACGAAACCACGTGGAGTCCACGTCTTTTCCACGACCTATTTCTCTCTGGGCATACCAACATATTCAGACAAAACAGTCTGAATTCTCAGACGTTTAGTATGTAATTTTGTTTCCTACCAATTTGTCTGAATTTTTAGACTTTATTTTTAACAGTGCTGGGATCGGAGGTGCCCTTCATATGAAAAAAAAAATTAAAACATTGAAAATTTTACCTTAAATTCAGTACTGAAAGTTTGACTTGCTCAAAAAACTACTAAAAATAATTTTATCGCAAAGATCCTAGTACCAACCATAGCCAGGTTCCTCCTGAACAAAACACCGTTTCGTACGACTGTTTTAGACGCAGCAGTCCGTGGGAAAGTGTACGGCCAGCATAGCGCCATACCTGTGACACGCCACCTTCCACCAGGGCGTGTCGCCACAGTTTTCAAGCGATCAGGACGTTTTTACTTTGGGTTTGTAGATGAAACTGCCATCTTTTAAACGGTGTTTTGGTACAGTTTGATAAGAGCTATGTTGTTGTTTTTTAAATAATTCCTAAAATTACCCTTGTTTTTGAGACGCTACACGAGGATCCCCCCTTCACGCCGATGCGTTGAACGCCGCCGCGCTCGTTGCTGTAACATGTTTTTAGTTGTTGGCTCTGAGCGTCAGGTGAAAGTTTAAAGTAAAAGCTCAACGTTATACGTATAAGTCATCTGCTTTCACGTTGGCGTTCACGTTTTTTTTAACGGAAAAATTTGGATTGCACTACCGAAAAAGCATGGTCTAGTTGGAATCGGTCAAAACATGGAAGGTGTCAAAAAAAGTCATTTGAGCGGTTGCTGAGGCGGGTCGGCTGACTCAGCGGTTGTCGAACCGCCTTCACGGGAATGAGCAGTTGTCCAAACCGCTTCGCAGACTAAGTGGTTGTCGGAGCGCTTCGGTAGACTGAGCGGTTTATGCTCTGACGTATCGAGTTATCCCCTCTTTACCCCTTTCCCGACCTTCTCTCCGCGTATAAGAAAGTGAAACTGTGATGGTCACAAAACCATACTACCATACATACTGGCGGGAATGGACAGTCTTGAAGTGTTTCGGTGACGTTGCTCGTCATGCGCACAAGAATTTCGTGCCAAATTTTTGGAAGATGTGTTTTGATTGTGGTACACAACTTCTTGAACTTCATGATCATTGCGTTTTCTTTCCATCCTCCTCTCGTTCCCCATGACGCGAATGTCAGCAGTGCCTATTAGAAGACATCCAAGAACTTTTTGACAATCTCTTGGAGTAAAGAACAATGTGACATATCACTTGACCCTCATGATAACCATGCACGACACTACGCACGGCGAATCACAGCTGGCGAAAGCACGCATCTCTGTTTTCGGGAGTTTTCAGGGGCGCAATTAATCACAATGCACGAAAATAGACCAAAACAAATTGGGTGATTAACAAAAAAAACGTGCAGTTTCGTTTCACAAAGAAAATTATTTCATTATTATTATTATCTTTTTTTTTTTTTGCTTAACTTTTCTTTGGGAGCCGGACATCTCGCCCCAGCTAACTCGCCCCATGGTACAACTCGCCCAAAGGTCAACTCGCCCCGATTTTGGGGCGAGTTGAGGTTGCAAGTTTTTGCCAACTCGCCCCAATTTGCCAAATTTCCAAAAAATCGCCCCTCGTTGCTGTGCTGGCCCTGCAGCCCGTCTTCAAGCACGTGGAGGACAACTACATCCGCGGGCGCCTGCAAGCACGCCGGGGACGCCGAGTCCGCAGACGGACTGCTTCCCTCTTCCCTCCTGAACTGTGGAACTGCTACGAGCGGACCCTGGCAGGGCTGCCCAGGACCACAAACACCTGCGAGGCATAGGCGCCTGTCTGCCCTCATCGGAAAGCACCACCCATCGTTCTTCGTGTTCCTAATGCAGCTCCGCGAGGAGGTGGTGGAGATCGACATACACATCACGAGGGCAGAGGGGGGCTTCTCCCCCAACAAGCGCAAGAACCGTCTGGAGCAGGCGGAGCAGCGGATCCACCGCGTTGTGGACAGATACCACGACATCGTCACCTACCTGAGGGCCATTGGTCATAACCTCTCTGGCTACTTCTGAATAAAACACTTGGTGCAATTCCCTGCAATATCTATTTAAATCGGGGCGAGTTAGCACTGGGGCGACTTGGGCATGGGGCGAATTGGGCATGGGGCGACTTGGTACTGGGGCGAGTTAGCTGGGGCGAGCTGTCCTAGATCCCTTTTCTTTGTATTGTTCTTGATAGTGTTTTCGATCGGGCGGGTTAACGCATTTCAGCTAGCCCGACGCTTGATGGCGTTCATACCCGACCCGACCCGCCCGAAAAAGTGAGTCGGGCGAGTCGGGCAAAGGTTTTACCCGACAGAGAGACAGCTTCCAAATCACCGGCCCCGGCTGTCCTGCCGCCCGGTCAAGCTCACAACCGTGGCCAGGGTCGACCAGCAAGGGCGAGGGGTGAGGTTTCGGGAACCGGAGGCGCCTAGTGAGGCTCGGCAGCCGATGTAAGTGTCGGGCGAGCCTTACCCGACCTCATCGTGGTACGTGAGCGATGAGACAGTTGCCAGCCACACAGTTCTATCTCCTCTTGTGTCGGGCAAGCGCCGATCTCATACCCGCCCAATCGAAAACACTAGTTCTTGAGTACCCCAAGATTACATTTCTAGAGTGGGCCCACAGTATGACCACGTACAGAGGTTTAACAGCGGTTCATGCCAAAAAGAGGCGTCGGAGTTTGGTCCAATCCTACAGTTCCCCCGTACACGTGCAAAATACAGCTCCATGGCTCGATCCAGACTCTTTTGTTATCGTTCTTTACAAAGCTATTCAAGCAGCACTGTAATGGATCGTGCGGAACTGGTCCATAGCCACAGTAAGGTAAGCAAATCTATGAGAGTGTTCAACGTGTTGCCTAAATGTCTGGCAATACCTCGGCTCCAAGGAACTGGAGCGACCCACGGCCGAGGCGTGGATGGGATAATAACACAACAAACATTTTCCCGCAAATTTCCCGGTTTGTTTTCGGAAAAATTCCCGGTTTTGTCTGGCGCATGCGCAGAGCACAAGTTGACGAAGTTTCGTTGTTTACTATTTTCGTTTTTTTTTTATGGTTTGTGAGCCGTGCCGGTAGAAATGAGGCTGGGCCGTCCTCACATTTGTTTTATAACCGGTTTGCCGTCAAAATTCCCTCAAATACGAGTTCTTTCCTTAAAAGTTCCTACATAACCTAAAAATATAAGGCGGGAAAAGTGAACTGGGAACTGCTTTCCCGAAATCAACCGGGAACTTCACGGATGTTTGCTGTGTAAGAGATAGTTGCAGATAATCGCATCGGAGTTTAGTTCTGAAGAAAGCCTGAAACAGCCCTTCTGCCCGAACAGGGCACCCTAAACTTATTACGACCGTATATGACGTTAATAGTCCTCTATTTTCAAAAGGGCATTTCCGGAATTTTCGATTCTGCATCGCAGAATGGAAACTAAAGCAGGAAAGGACTTCATTCGCAAAAAAATCGCACAAGAAAACGACGCTTCTTCCCACCTCCACACCAGCTGATCGCGTTTTTCGTCAATTTCTCGCTCGAAAAAAGTTTAGTTCTTGTGTGTCTTGGCTGTGGAGTGGTGGCTGATAAACTCCGAAGCCCGAACCACAAAACCCGTGGAACGACTTTGAGCCCTTGTAGCTCTGCTTGTATACCCGCTAAAAAACTAAAACTCAGGGTAAAAGTACCTTTGAATGTGGTCTTTAGAACTAGGTGGGGCATTTGAGTCTGCAGTGTTGCCATATTCCGAAAATGGGCTGCTTTTTAAACCAACAGGGAAGTGTGGAAAGCATCGAAGTTCAGTTTTGACCTCTTTTGATCGATCCTGCACGTAACAGTGATGAAATTGTTCGATATTCTTGTCGGCCCCTTGTAGAGCTCCAAAACAGACGTCATACTAGACCGAAGTGGTGGCTCCAGCACAATGGAGACGAACATGAGATGCTTTGGAACGAAACTGCACGGTTTATTTAACAATCACCCAGTTCTATTTTTTTTTCGTATTTCAGCTATGTGATTTTTTGAGCACTTCCATTGCGGAATTCGCAGAAACCCCAGCCCAGGCTAAGATTCCCATGAGGATAGCTATGGCCACGCGTTTGCCATGGCCGCCCATGGCTACGCATGGCCACTGGCCATGGGCCAAAGGGCCATTTTTGGCCATTGGTGCTAGTGGCCATGACAATCATGTTACCAAACATGGCCACCATGGCCACGTTATGTGGATCTTGGCCATAGTAGGGAGCAGTGGCAATGGTCGTTTTATAGTAAAAATTGGATAGTAAGTCCAAAGTTAAAGGTTATACATGAGGCAGCATCAATAAACGGGTTAAGTACTCACTCAGGGTGCCCGAACCGAGGCGGAGCCGAATCCGGTGTCTGTTTTGGCCTAGCTCAAGCCGTTTACAAGTTGCAGGAAAAAATATATCCGGTTTGAATGAAATTAAAATGGCCCTACCAAAATACAAGGAAGTAGCTACAAACCAAATTTCAGGTCAAAATTCCAAGAAATACAATTTTTATAGGATGTTGAAATTTCATGGCCACTAAGGCTATGGCCACTATAACATGCCATGACCACTGCTACTATAGCCACCCATGGCCACCTATAGCCATCCATGGCTACCCATGGCCAGAGGAAGGCCATGGACAAGCTTGCCATGGCCAACGAGGTGGCCATAGTAAACGCTCTCCTGGCCATGGTAAGTGTGTTCGTGGCCGTGGCCAAGGTAAATCATTTTACGTGGCCAGAGACACCATGGGAATCTTAGACGAAATCGCCATATTTTCGTTAGGGTCTTCCCAAACGGCACAGCGCAGTGTGGAAACGTACTTTCACTACTACAATCGGAATTTATTGTGAAATTGTGGTTGAAGTTAGGCGATGATTAAAAGATGGGCCAGCCCCGAGCGGCGAAGGAAGTCTAATCCATATTTCAGAGGTTATTTCTATTTTCTATGGAAAGAATACAGGACGTTCGTTCAAACATGGTACAATGGTCCTTAAGGAATGAGAAAATTATTTTAGCAACACTCTTATTGCAATTCGATATTTTCGATAAAGGCTGGCTGCCAGACTACTGTGCACTGTTCGTCGTTTGTGGTTTCACCAGCACCACTACGCTTTGCGTGCTTGAACTGTAAATTTCATAGCAATGATTCCCGTGAAAACTGCACCGTGTACACTCAGTGCACACTCCATATACGGCTAGTAGTACACGTTCCCAATGTATCCTGCGTATTCACAATTACACCCGGTACTTCCTGTGTTTACGCGAAGCATATACGCATCAGGTTACATATAAGCAATCACAGATCGAATCACACGTTCCACAAATTCACATACGGGGTTACGTACGGCACATACGCGTTCCCTAGTGTCCACATAAAATTCTTATACATAGAATTCGTATGTTGAATCTATTCGGCTATATTTATTGGGAATGTGTAATGATGGCTATACACAAAGTGTATACGGAGTGTACACGAGACAATTTTCACGCAGAAAATTGTACTCAACATCAAATTTACTACAAGAAATGTATCCGCCAAAAATTTTGTCCACAAGGGAAAAGGGTGTGTGCCTTGGCGAAAACGTCACCATCAAGCGACACTTACATCTTTTGTGTCGTCGAATGTAAATTGGCTTGCCCAATCTACTGCCACAAAGAAGTAGTTAGTGTTATTTCGATCGCGTACAATTTTGAAGTCCATGGGGAAGTCTAAAGCCATTTCACTCCGCGGGCAGGCCTCAGCACGATCTGGAATTATGATGTATGGCCCCTGAAACAATGCGGACGAGCTGGTTATTCAGATATGTATATATGGTATACTTATAGGTGCCATGGTGTCATAAATTGTTTACTTGACACTAGAAATCCTGAAGGGAGATTCTCAGTATCCAGAGAGAGAGAGAATAGTGTACCAAATTTCATCGCTCCCTAGAGAGCGAGAATTTAGAATATCGCACTAATCTGGAAATGTTAATTCAATATCGCTCAATTGGAGTATGAAATTTAATACATCGCTTAGTTTTAGTATTAAGACTGAAACCTCACTGGCTAGCAGCTTAAAAGTTAAAACCCCATAAATTCACTGTTCATTGGTTGAAATCCTCTAATACTAAAATATTTGTGGTCCCGAGGAGACAGTTTTGTGACAAATTTGTAAAATTGTACAGTAGAGGCCATGAACTAAAGAAAAACGAGGCCTTACCTAATACACTGCATTACACTACACTAAATACACTGCAATTAATCAATGTTCGGCCCAACAACACTTTGGGGAGGGTTGGGTACTTTCATTCTCTAACAAGGAGACTTAGGTAAGTGTAAATTCCCGATTCGGTTCAAACTCGGTATATTTGCTTCTTGGCCATGTTGATGACGAACGCCGGTCGAATTTTGTGCTAAAGTTCACATCCCGGGGTACTTTATTGGAGCGTTATATAGAAAAAGTTTAGAAATTCGACATAAACTCATGGAAGGCGTTCTCAAATCGAAAAATGGAAGAAGAACCACCCCCCCAAAACCGCACATTCTGGGTCGGAGTATCACTTTAGAAAAATTTTAAGATGATTTTTTTTTTCTGAATTATAGGACCGTATAGGCCCCTATAGGGAGTTTTGACATATAAACTTCAGCACAAATTTTGACGCGCAATAGTCATCTATAGGGATAAGAAGCAAATATACCGAGTTTGAACCGAATCGAGAATTTACACTTACCTAAGTCTCCTTGTAATCAGAGTATTGACAAGCAGGCCCGCCCTTCCGCAAACGAAGTTTGCCAGCTCCGCTTCGCTCCGCCGGCAACTCCGTTCGGCAGGGGCCGGGCCTGCTGGGCCTGCCGGCGGAGACTCGAGAAAGGGATGTGACGGTGAAGCACCGCGACTACAACCCATCCTTCTGCTTAAAAAAACGTTTTTTTGGGGGTGGGGGGAGAGTTCTTCATCTAATTTGTGATTTTTAGGCCTTTTTCTACATCTTATTGTTCACTATAGCAATTTTTAGCTTTTTTTCGTCAAAAGAGACCCTTAGCGCGTAAACGGTTAGAGATAGAGCAAAACGGACGAAATTTTTGTTCAAGTGATCTACTCTCACAGGTTACCCCTTAGAAGATCATAAGAAAACTATATTTTCCAACTTTTTCGGCCTTTCCTGTTTTCTTTGATACCCCCTTTCAGCCCCTTAGGGGTGGCTGGCTGGATTTGTCGTAGGCGTTTTGTTTTGTGGGAGTGAACCTTGAGATCCCCTGAAAATTTGAAGTCTCTCGCACGTCTCCTTCTTGTGGAACAGACACACAGACACGAGGTCGTTTGCATAAGCCCGCTGGATAGCTTTTTCAAAGCAGAAGGGCGGGCTAAAAATCCACAGTCTACCCTGTTCCTGGCCTCTGTGGGCAGTATAGAAGCTCTAACCCCATACCCTGCTGTAGTTGGTTCAATGGGGTTATACTAGGAGGTTATAGTCTGTGCGCAGAAAGCCTAACCACAAAAGTAGACTCGGACTAATGTTTGCACTGTAATTTAGTTGGCGTTGAAAGACGCCACAGATTTGGCGTTCAAGAAGGAGCGTCAAATTCTGGCGTTCCTTTCCTGGAGATTCAAATATTGGCGTTCCGTTTTGAATGGCAATTCTTTGCGTTCCTTTCCAAATTAAATTATATGTTACACTTGTACGAGTTAAGGCCAAGTCTCAATACTATATTTAAAATTTTAATTAAGATAGCATTGATTAAAAAGAAATCCTGAGAGATAATGTTGCACCTTAATTGTTCAATAGTACTGCTGAGACTATATGACTGAAAATACGGGGGAGGCCTACCACTCAAATGACTACTAAACAATTAACTAGTTTTATATTGAATAACCCGATCAACAGCTCCGGAAATGACTGGGTGAGATGGTTTGTATTACTCACAATAGTATGATAAAGCCACTGGGTAACTTTGCTCTTCTTCTCATAACCCAATGGGGTATCCCTCTAGAGCGCGGAGCGGAACTAAGAAGAACAAAAGCGAATACAGAGAGCGGTGGTGGGGGAGGGCGCGCGGGGGATCGGCGGGTGGTAGGGGAGCCTTCCCGCCCGCCGCTCCTCCGCTTTTGTTTTTCTTAGTTCCGTTCCGCGCTCTGGAGGGATACCCTATACAAAAACATTGATTTCATCATTTGGTAGCAGCCTAGGCTAGGCTGGCACAGCCTACGGGCAGCAATAACCCCAAATCAACCCTATGCTCTGACAGTGTTTGGATATACGAAACTAGGTTCAGGCTTATGTGTCGTTCCCAAATCGATGCAGACGACAAAAAGCGTCGACACGACTCCACTGTCATAACCAAGAACACTTTGAAATTAAAATAAATCTTAAATTGTACTCTTGATACATGCTTCTCGTCATGTTTACTTTGAACTAACAACACTGACCTGCCTATAGCGGCTGCTGTGTTACTTGCCCTCCTTCGCACTGTGGATAGTGGGAGTCGATAGGTTTTGTAGTGTATGTGCTGCCCCATAGCGGTCTGTCTGCCAGGTGATTCTGATTGTGCCAATAAGTTCTGTAGATACGCTGAAAGACGGCTATGGGCAGAGCTTTGTTATTAATTCAAAGTAAACATGGCGAGAAGCATATATCAAGAGTACAATTTAAGATTTATTTTAATTTCAAAGTGTTCTTGGTTATGACAGTGGAGTCGTGTCGACGCTTTTTGTCGTCTTCATCGATTTGGGAACGAAAGCTATGCCCATAGAAGAGCAAAGTTACCCAGTGGCTTTACCATACTATTGTGAGTAATACAAACCATCTCACCCAGTCATTTCCGGAGCTGTTGCTCGGGTTATTCAATATAAAACTAGTTAATTGTTTAGAAGTCATTTTAGTGGTAGGCCTTCCCCGTATTTCCAGTCATATGGTCTGAGCAGTACTCGATGCCTCATAACGACAAAGTCCGATGTATTGCGCTCCCGTTACACAAAGTTCGATCTATTTCGCTCCCGTTACACATAGTGCGATGTGTTGCGCTCCCGTTACACAAAGTTCGATCTGTTCCGCTCCCGTTACACAATGTTCGATCTGCTTTCCGTCGCGCTCTGCATCGCGGTCTTATTATGTTTATATTTTCGCTAATATTGCCGGTAGAAAAAAAGTAAAAGCTGCTGTCTGTGCTGTCTGTTGCTAAACGATTGAAGAACAACATACTCTAAAGAAAAAATTGAATGCCACAACAACAAAACTGCGGTAGCGCTCTAAACTTGGGTCTCCCGATAGCGGCCAAAAGCAGATCGAACTTTGTGTAACGGGAGCGGAACAGATCGAACTTTGTGTAACGGGAGCGGAACAGATCGGACTTTGTGTAACGGGAGCGAAACAGATCGAACTTTGAGTAACGGGAGCGAAACAGATCGAACTTTGTCGTTAGAAGACATCGTACTATTGAACAATTATGTTGCAACATTATCTCTCAGGACTTCTATTTAATAAATGCTATCGTAATTAATTTAAATTTTTAATACAGTATTGAAACTTGGCCTTAACTCGTACAGTGTAACATATAATTTAAATTGGAAAGGAACGCGAAGAATTGGCATTCAAAAAGGAACGCCAATTTTTGGCGTTCTCAAAAGCATCTCCAGGAAAAGAACGCCAGAATTTGGCGCTTCTTTTTGAACGCCAAATCTGTGGCGTCTTTTCAACGCCAACTAAGTAACAGTGTAGATGCCCTAAATCAAGTTATGAATCGGTGTTTACACTTTGTATGGGCGCGGTTGACGGCGAACGTCGGCAGGAGTCCAATGTCATGGCCGGGATCACGTTAAAATAAACATAAATCTGATTGTTAATCTTGCTAGAAGTTGGAGTAATTTCTGGTCGACATAATTGCATGACAACAATACTATCCTCCCTTTACGAATTACTTTTACTGACCGTACTCAAAACTGTCAAGGAACAGGCCCGCCACAAAAGAAACTGTCGCTGTTCATGTATTTTTCCCTGTTTTGCTGGTACTTCAAGTCAAATCTTACAAGGGAACCTTTTCAGGTGTAAACCTCCGATTTCGTTTTTAAAAGGTTATTATAATAGAAGTCAGATGGCACTTGAATTTTTTTCTAAACTTAACATTTACTAAGGGTTTACTTAAGCCTGACAATGTTTTTTGGTCCAAATGTCCCTCTACCGCTTTAACGGTTCAAAATAGAGCAAAACGGACAAAATTTTGGCCCGAAAAACACTACCTTGAGTTTCCCCTTAGAACACTGCTTAACATTTTTCAAAAAATATTTTTTTCTTTATATAGGGTAAAACTAAATTTTAGGTTAAGGAAAAATTTCAAATGCCACCCGATTTCTACATAAATAACCTTGAATTTTTCCAAGTTTCAACGTAATCGGAGATTTACACATGAAAAGGTTCCCTTGTTAGAATAAAAGTGCGGTACTACTAAAGTACCAGGAAAAGGGCAAAATATATGAAAATCGGGAATTTATGTGGAGGGCCTGTTTTACAATTTAGGCTCTTATTTTTAAAATGGAGTCGTCATAGCCTGAAAATAGAGGGGGGAGGGAGGTCGGACCGGTCCGGGTTTTGATCCGTTCGATCAGCCGGAAAAGCCGTATCGATGGTCTCTTTAATTTTGTAAAGATTGCTATTTTTGGGGCTAAATTCTAAACAATTACGCTGAAATCTCGCCTCCTCTGGGTCGGAAATGAATGTACTACGGGTCAAATAAAGTTGGGGTCTAAAAGGACCTCCACAAAAATAACGCTTTATATGTGGAGGCTACCGCATAGACTGTAAATAAAGTCTTTTCCGAGAACGTTGCTTACTGCGACGGGAGTAGCGCATGAGTTGATGACTGCTTTAAAAAGGAGGAGGACATTAGCAGCTGAAGTAAGTAGTGAACTCGGCATTGTAAAAAGAGTCGGGAGCTACTGCGCGGTCATACCACACTATTGTTCCGCCAAGCCGCGTGTTTGCCCAAACAGCTCAGTGAAGGTCGACAGATTACAGATATGAAAGCAGTTCGCCAGGGGTTAAATATTTTTTAAACGTTTTTAGGCTCAGGAATAGATCAGATAAGATTTACGTACTGTTGTCTGGCTGCGGTTGCGGTATTGCAAAGCCCATTCCGTTATCGACGGGAAAGCGTAAATATTTTTAGAAGGGGTGAACCATTCCAGATTCGAAAGGCACGAAAACAGAATAAACAAATTTGCAAAACTCCAGGTAAACCACTAGCGGCAACTTTTTGTACAGTAAATAGCAATTTTGTTTACAGCAGGGCGTCGTAACGTAACACAAGGGCAAAAAATAGCACTTTTGCTATAGTCTTAGTGGTATTTGAATACCTTCTCGTTGTATCAAAAATTTAAGAGTCACATCATTTTAAATGCAATTTAAAGCCAGAATTTTTGGTGTTATTTACAACATAATAATGTACATAATTTTACGTCTACAGTCACACAAACACGCAAAAAGTCAGTCCCGTTCAGCGTCCGTCCGTCACGCATTTTCGAAAGCCCCTAGATTAGGAACACAGCATTGCAGAGCGCAGCGCGACATATCACTAAGTTCGTCTGAGTATTACCTATAAGATGGCTACGTTTAGTATTTTCTCAATGCTGAAAAAAGTACAAAAAAGTGCCAAAAACTAAGAAAAATGAGTGTGACGGACAGACAAGACTGTCGCGGTTTTGCCTACAACTACTACGAATAATGATACGTTTTTAGTTATTGGCTGAGCGATAGCGAAGCCTATTACTCCAGTGAACATCAAAAAGTTTCATGTCTGTCTGTCTGTTTGTCTGTAATCACGATAACACGAGAACGGTTTGAGCTACCTACCTGAAATTTTTAGTTTAACTTTGTAGCAAAAAAGCAAGAACTGTATTGATTTTGAGCCCTGTACCTTAAAAATTGACCTGTCAAAAAAAAAAAAAAAAAAAAAAGGGGAACACCCAAAATATGAGTCCTGAAAATAAAATTACATCGTTTTCAGAGGTAACACGTCCAGGTAGAACCCAGAGGTATAGGGCCAAAATTTCGTCCGTTTGGCTCTATCTCTAATAGTTTAGTCGCCAGAGGGCGATTTCCACTTAAAAATGACCTCCTTTTATTTTAATGTTGTTTCTCAGATATTTGATGGACTCTGGTAGGGCAACTGGTCAAAATAGGATCCTGGCGGTAAAATTTGTGTCCTTTAGAGCGAAAGGTCTATCTACGACTCTACCTTTTGCCCGACTCGGGTGTCAGCGCCGCAGGCCTAGGTAGATATATGCCAGGCGCGTCGTAGCGTAACAAGTGTTTCGTGAGATATCGCGAAGCCTGTTACGCGAGACGTGGTGTGGCGTCCATATAGCTAGTGAATGTGGTATTCTATTTTATTCTTTCTAATTTGATTAAAGTCGTGTGTTTAAATACCAACGCGCAACAGATCCGCTTTTTCAATGTCGCAGTGCTTTGTGGCCACAGAGATTAAAGAAAGATGTAGATCAAATAAAAGATTTCACATGAAAGATCCAAAACAGTCAGGAGGCAGCAAAGTACCCTAGCCACTAACCATTACAGATAGATGAGAAGAAAAGCTAGAAAATAAAAAAACGGCAATTTTGATAGTGGTGATTTGCAAACCACAATAAATATCCATATCAGTCAGGAGGCAGCAAAGTATCGCACACCGACGTCGAAGAGCATAACGATCTCATCACTCATACATTTGCAAACTGTGACTGTACATTACTCTTCTGCTTCTGCCCGACATTCAATAGTAAAATAAAGGTGTAGGACGACAACATAAAACATGTGATATGTATATTGACATGTTTAAAAAGAAAACAAATAAAAAGATCCCTCTTGATACGTTTAAAGTTCATGTGACTAAAAGTTTTAAAATAGGTACCTTCTATGCAATGTAATTTAAAGAGATTTGATTTGATTTATTGAGGATACTCAAAAAGGGCTGTAGAGCCCCACTACATGAGCACCCGCTCTCTAATAATACATAAATTTAATGCTTAAAACTAACTTCACTGAAAAAAAGGACTAGTAACAGATACCAGACAAATCCTAGTTAAATGGATGCTAGTTATTACAACTAGGATAATACTAAGCTTTACGAGAAGTTTAGTATCGTATAATAACACAGGTATAGTTACAGGTACCAGCCGTCTAGTAACTGAGTCTGGTTAGGTTTACCAAACTATATAGTAATTTTTACCAGACTGCACGTTTACTAGGCTATGCCTATGGTCCGGCGGCGGTGGCATCACACTCGTTACGCACGCCTCTCTCCTCAGGTAGTCACCGTAGCCGAGTGGTCTAGGGTGCGGACTTCCAAGGCAAAGGTCCGCGGTTCGAAACTCGGTCAGGGCTTCGAAATTTCGTGGGTTAACGAGTACCCGTTGTAACCGTAGTAACGGGCAGACATCTTCTATATTGCATTCGTATATTTTTTGAACACTTTTTGGAAAGAAAATGTGTGGTATCTGTAACTAGACATCTGGTAAATTTTACTAGAATTTGTGTTACTAGCCTGCCTGGTATCTTTTACTAGATTCCTAGTTGGTTCCTATTTTACTAGACTGTCTGGTACCTGGTACTAAGATCCTAGTAACTGCTACTAGTATTTTTTTTCAGAAGATAGAGTACAGAACACGAACAAGTGACACTTCACAACCTAAAAGATTGTATTCAAATATACAAGTTTAGAATTAGCTTCTTAACGTTCTAAGGACGGATGGTGTTGACAGATTTACGTAATTGTACAATTCTAGGTCATTCCACAGTTGGGAGGATCGGACTAGAAAGGATAAGTGATATTCTGCATTTCTGAGTTCTATGAATTGGAATGATCAGTCGCTTTGTGTTGGACCGCGTACCGGAAGACTTAATTAAGAATTTGTACGAGTTCCTGAGATAGGTAGGGCACTTAGATTTAATTATTTTAGATACCAAGACAGCTACATCAATATCTCTTCTTTCTTTGATCTTTTTAATGCCTAGTTCCCTTTAGTGCGGTGTAATATGTTCATAACAACTTGTGCCCGTTACAAATCTTATGCAGGCATTCTGTGCTCTTAAGAGCCTCGTGTTATTATACAATGGAATATCTGCGAAGAGTGCAGACGCATAGTCAAAATGAGGCATCACCAGCGAGGTGATAAGATATTATCGTACCTTAGGGGGTATGAAGGAGAAGTTGCGCCTCAATTGAGCAAGAACGCCGAACACTTTGCAAACAGTAGCCATGCAGTGCTCTGTCCACCTGAGTGTAGGGTCGAGAAGTACCCCAAGATTATTGACAACCGTACAATAAGGTACTATGCAACCATTTAGGACCAGAGGAGCTACTGGGGTGGAGTTCCACATCGTTAAGTACATTTGTGTCCCTAATATGATGGCTTGAGTTTTGTTTACATTTAGTATTTAGGACTAGGTTGTGGTTCTCACAGAATTTAATCACTCGCAGTATGTCTTCACTGACTTTAGAAAGTGCTGTATCATAATCGATTAAACGGACGTGGTTATAAAGCTGGTTATCATCAGCATACATATGATATGAACATGATTTAAGGACGGATGGGAGATCAAACAGATATATAAGGAACAGTAGGGGTCCTAAGACGCTCCCCTGAGGCACACCTGTGTTAGCTGACAACCATTCTGAGGATAGATCTTTAGTCACAAACACTCTGTGACAGCGATTGCTTAGATAGGACTTAAACCACGCAACAGCAGAGCTAGAAAATCCAATGTGTCTAAGTTTTACAAGTAACAGTTCGTGGTGAACACAGTCAAATGCTTTACTGAGATCTAGGAGCACGAGCAGCGTTAGGAGCCTCTTATCGATTGCCTTCCGTATATCATCAGTTACTTTAATTAGAGCTGTTACTGTGCTGTGTCCCTTTCTAAATCCAGATTGAAGTTGGGTAAAGCGATTGTGTTCGTTCAGGAAACTAGTAGTAACTTGAGCAAGAACAATTTTTTCGAGGGCTTTTCTAAGCACACAAAGTATACTTAAAGGTCGGTAATCTTTACACTCTGTTGGACTTTTAGTTTTAGGTATCGGTAGTATATTTGCCATTTTCCAGGCTGTTTTGTAGACAGAAATTTAAAAAAAGCTCAATGACGGGCATTAAGGCAGGCAAGCACATCTTTAGAAACATTACAGGTAGATCATCGACTCCCGTTGCTTTTGACTTTATTCTGTGAATAGCTTTAAATACATCATGGGGCATAGCATAGAGGAAATAATACTGTTCATTTTTATCAGGAAGCAATCGCTGGTATCCACTTGGTCACACTTGGATTGCCTTGGATCTTCTGGAGTTGCATTCACCGCTCTGACCTGAAAAGATATTCAAAAATGTATAAGTGCACAGAAAATTAGCTCGATATTGATAATATGAAAATGATGATACGACAGGAGAGCAACGTCTATCAACAACACACCAGACAATGTGGGACTCCAAAATAGGGTGGGTACCATTCTAATGCACACAGTAGGAACACGTCTAAGGCAATGCGGTAAAAGTACCTCAACAGAAAAAGTATAACCTACGGGGATACATTTGTTATGGCCCTACTTCCCTCTCTTCCCATTCCCTTACGCCTACCTGCCCGAACACCCCCTCGCAAAACCCCATCCGCCATAGACAGGGAACCTAATGGGTCGCACAGAGGTACGCCTTTAAGGTTGTGCGATAAAAGTTCCCCCCAAGATAAAAAAAAAAACAACCTACGAGTGTGCATTTATCCTGGTCTACCAAACACCACCGTGGGTGAAACCCTCTCTCCTGCTTCATTTCAAATCAAGCCCAGATTTAACCACGTGACTGATATGGAGTGGAGTGCACTGGTTGATGACATGAGGCATCAATACATCCAAAAAAATTACATTATGGCAATAAAAATATAATGAGAAATCTTCCCTTCTGACTCGAAAAGAAACAATGAAGGCAAGCTGAGTTATCACAGTGAGGGTGCAGCAGTCACAGGACAT